TGTCTAGAAAACAAAGAGAAATTGAGATAAGGGAGCATTCCAATTGTAATTAGGCCATTACCTGATGCAATGGATAGGCAGCAGTGTAAACACCCTGAGCCACTAATCGTTCAATTCCAAATCGGTAGTGATTTTGCGTCTTTCCCTTGGAATTTAAGCGCGGATCATCGTAATGAGCTCTGGTAAGCAAGTCATACACCATTCGAGATCGTTCGGCATGTGGAAATAGAATGTCTGGGCGATCCCAGTTGACAAACCTAGGCAAATTATTAATTTAACCCATAACCGAACACAACCTCAAAGATGTCCTAACTCACTGTTTCCGCCTGTCACTAGAATATGGCGCAGTGAAGAAGTCTGGCTCTTCCAAAACTTTCTTCACACGCGGTTCGAAATCAAAAATGCCAATCTTCGAAAGTATACTATCCAAGAAACCGGGAAGCGAGGTTCGATCCTGTGACGCAAATTAATTACTTTCATAAATTGACCTCGCACAAGTGCTAACATAGCAAGCAAATTTTCACGGTTTTATAGAAAAACAAACGAAGTGCAAAGTAAATGAAATAATAATATTCTGTTTCAATGGGATAGAATATGTACATTCCAGCGGCGAAAAAAGATTGCAAACGATAATGCACCTTGAAGTCGACATCACTTTGTTGTACTGGAAGCTTTACAGACAGTAACTGTGCTTGTTTTTCCAAAACGGGAAATGGTGCATGTAGTAGGACAAATCGAGTGCGACCAAGCTGAAACAAAAAATTAAGAAGAAGTGTTTTTTTTAAAAGTAAGCACTGGGTACAATAATCAAGAACTTTATAGGACATAATATGGTTCCTCTTAGCCTATGTGTAAAAAGAGACTATCTTAGTAGCCTTGCCTGATAAGAAGGGTAAAAGTTTCAGTAGAACCTACAAGCTAAATTTGTGATAAATTTGTTTTAAAAAAAGGAGCATGCAATGGGTATGTGGATATAAGAACTGAGGAGGAAAAACATAGAAATTTGACCTACTTTCGGTGAAATCATAACTCGTTCAATCTGTAATCCCATTTTTTGCAGGTTTGTCTCAAAATAGAATCTCCTATTTTGTTTCTTCTCTTTTGTACTGCTAGCCGTTTGAGGAGTATTTTGGTCCTAAAATCAGTGGAATTACTGCTGTTAATTGATTCTTCTTAGTGAAAATCGCAATAAAATCTTGCTATATAACTCACCTCAGTGTCTTCGTCTTGATCTACGTCTTGATCTAGTTTTTCAAAGTCAGCAGTAGATGGAGATTCACTGGCATCATTACCATCTTCTTCGTATGCCAGCACGTAATCAATCTGAACAGGACATTGATATT